GCAGGGCTGGGGGACAGCGCAGGGGTGGCAGGGCTGGGGGGACAGCGCAGGGGTGGCAGGGCTGGGGGACAGCGCAGGGGTGGCATGTGGGGCTGGGGGTGGCGGGACAGGGTACAGGGGTGTGGGGGACAGTGCAGGGGTGGCGTGCAAGGAGGGGTGGTTACAGGGGTGAGTCAGAGGTCCAGCTGCAGGGTGACGGGCCGCTGGGCCTGCAGGACCTGGACACTGTAGGGCTGCCGAGTGCTGTGGGGACAGGGCGTGGGGTGACACCTCCTCACCACGCACAGCGCACCGGAGCCCAAGTGCAGGGGTGATGGCTGATCAGCTCAGCTGCGGGGATGCGTGTGTGTGTCTGTGAGCACACCAGGGGCACACCTGAAATAGATCGGACTTCTGGCAGTGTTAGAGTCACTGCTGTAGTGCAGGGGCCAATGGAATCCCAAACCAGCTCAGCCCTTCCCACAAAGCGGCCTGGGCCAGAAGGCGATGCCACACCGCGGGGGCGGAAGCCGCGCAGGGATGCGGTCCTGTAATTTTCCACTTAATTCACAAGTCTGGCCCTGCAAGGGTTGGAGGGTCGGGGCAGATAATGAGGTCCGGCCACGTCTGATGTAGGTGACATGCAGCAACTGAGCAGCCGCAGATGGTGCTGGGTCAGAGCCGCGGGCCCCTGGCCGGGGACACGTGGCCTCAGGGTGAGAGGCATCTCTTCCAAAACCGCTCAGCAAGGCGCCTGGCACAGCTCTCGCTGTCCCCTGGGAAGGTCAAAAGTGCCCCGTTCTCCATCCCAGCGGTCAGGGCTCGATCACCTGACGCTGTCGTGAGCTCTGCTGGTGGCACTGTGGCCTCTGGATGCCTTGCCCGTCCCATGTCCCAGTGTGGGAGGGAAGCCGTACGACACGCCAGGGCTGCTTACAGGTGAGGGTCCAGATCTAGTGATGGCGTCCTTCGAAACACCTGCTCCAAGGCCACCCACCGTTCCCCACCATGCACCGACTATGGAAGACGTGCGCGAGGTGGCAGGTGTTTGTAGTCTCCCCACTCCTGAGCTCTGGAGTGCTCTCTTCAATGCCCACGTGGTACTTGGGGTTTTCAGGCCTGCCCTGTGTGAATTCTGCCCTTGTGCTGCTTGAACCTTTCTAGTGGCTCTGCATTCTCGTGGCTCTCCTCCCTTCTCGTGGCTCTCCTCCTTCCTTCTCATGGCTCTCCTCCTTTCTTGTGGCTCTCCTCCTTCCTTCTCGTGGCTCTCCTCCCTTCTCGTGGCTCTCCTCCTTTCTCGTGGCTCTCTCCAGTCCAGGAGTGTCCTCAGCAGTTTCTAGGGCAGGCACTGCCCTGGCTGAGGGCTGGGGGACTCCCTGATCACTGCTCCCAATTTCAAAACTTACTGCCAAGCTGTGGGAATCAAGGCAGTGTGCCTGACCACAGGGTAGGTCTGCACCAACAGACTGCCAGTCCACAAATAAACCCTTCTGTTTATGCTCAACTGATTTTTTTTTTTAAAAAAAGGTACCAAGCAATTCCATGGGAAGAATGGCTTTTTAGTGCTGGTTGTGGCTGACCGGCTGACTGAAGGTGTTTTAGTGCTGGTTGTGGCTGACCGGCTGACTGAAGGTGGACCCGTGCCTCACCTCATTCACCAAGATTCGGCTCTCAGAGATCACGGCAAAAGTGTAAAGGCTAAAGCTATGAAGCCCTTAGTAGAAAACACGTTAGGTGAGGTGACAGATGTGACAGCACAGCAAAAGAAATGATGCATTTCCAGGTTCTGGTGGCTCGTGATTGTCATCCTCGCTACTCAGGAGCTTGAGCTCTGAAGATCATGTGTGAAGCCAGCCCATGAGATTCTTACCTCTATTAACTACCAACAAAATCCAGAAGTAGAGCTGTGGCTCAAGTGATAAAGCACTAACCTTGAGATGAATAGCTTAGGGACAGCACTCACACCCTGAGTTCAAGCTCCAGGACACACACACACACACAGACACAGACACACAGACACAGACACAGACACACACACAGACACACAGACACAGACACACACACGCACACACACAGACACAGACACACACAGACACACACACAGATACACACACAGACACACACACACACAGACACACACAGACACACACACACACACAGACACACACACAGACACACACACACAGACACACACAGACACACACATACACACACACACACAGACACACACACAGACACACACACAGACACACACACACAGACACAAAGTGATCTGTTGGACATCATCAAGATCAAAGGCTTTCCTGCCTCAAGGACACCATCAAGAAAGAAAAGCTAGTCCTTAGAAGACAAGAGAGAGTCTGCACATGATCTGAGAAGCAGTCTGCATCCAGAATGTATAACTAACTACTTCTACAAAGGAACAAGAAGCAAGGACTTGTGGTTTGGGCTCAGCCCTGTGTACCACCTACAAGTTGTCACTCCTAGAGGCCTTTCAGGGTTGAGGCCTGGTGACCCCTGCCATGCACGGCCTGAGCCCAGTACTCACCGACTGAGAGCTGTCTCTGCTGCTGTCCCGTGACTTGTTCTTGGCCAGCCGCTTCTTTTTCTTGTGCAGAGGCCGAGATTCCAAGATCATCTCCTCCAGCTCAAAGGTGGGGTCGCAGTGCAGGCGGCCTTTCTGTGAGGGGACAGAGGGCTGAGCCCAGCCCACAGGCCCTGCCCGCCCTGGAACTGTTGTCTGAGTAAGGGCTTACATTGGGCACGAAGCCTGGCTCCACCTTCTTCTCACTCAGGTCATCCCACAGCACATGGGCCAGTGACGGGGCTGCCTGCATGTCCTGGAGGCTGGAGAGCCGGTGCTCAGGGTTCACAGTGAGAAGCTGCAATGAGGCCCGGGTCAGACAGGCAGCCCAGCCAGCCCAGCGCCAGCCAGAGTGGCCAGACACTCCCGAAAGGCAGGTGATCCGATGCTCTGGGTCTGGAAGGGTGGTAAAGGACCTGCAGGGGTGTTCCACCAGGATTCACCAGCAGGTGGCAGCGGAGGCCTGGCTTCTGCTCCTTAGGAACCCAGTGTGGCTGGCCAGAGTACCTAACACGAAGCCATTTCCAATACAGAGTAGACTGCCGAGTCCCATGGAATCCCCTTCAGACAACTGCACAACCAAAGCAGCAGGGCACAAGCTGGACACCTCCCAGCCTCACAGGCAGCCTCTCTGGGCCCTGACCCACATCTTGGCTCTTGGACTCCACCCCTTTTAGATGGATGCTCCAGTCCTTAAAGAACAGGTCTCCAGGTTTGGAATGGGCCCAGCCTAGATCCACACGGCACCACTGTGCACAGCACAGCAACCCTGCGCCCCTCTCTGGGCTGGGAGGGCACACCCAGGTCAGGGGCACCTACCAGAGTTAGGGCAAGGGCAGAGGTCAGCCCGGGCCTGCCCCAGCCTGGCACACCTCCCTCCCACACACAGATGGAGGAAGCTGGCATCTGGGGGTTGGCCTTGGTGTGCAGTGTGTGATGACCCGTGCCCCAACTAACTCCTCTGAGGATGGAGAGTGAGTGTGGGCAGGACCCCACCTGTGGCCCGGCAGTGTCACTGTGTTCAAGAAACACGCAGCCACCTCACGGCAGAACTCAAATGCACAGCAAAGGGACCAGACCCGCGTTCCTCAGCCAGGCGGGTGCGGGTGAGAGGGCGTGGCTGCGAGCTCCGGGGGTGCGGTGGGGAGGGGCTCACCTTCCGCAGCAGGGCCACCATCTCCTTGGACCAGGTGGGCGCGTACTGCACGCTCACGGTGCTGAACAGCTGCACCAGCGACTCCACCGCGTTGCTCGAGTGGATGTCGTAGGGCCTCTGCGGGTGAGAAGGCGTGGGCCACAGTGCCTTACACCCGGCGGCGGTGCCGCCGCCCCGGGCCGGGGCTCCCCGCCCCTGTCCAGGCTGGGCTCTGAGCCGGGGGCGGCACCTGTGCCTGGTTTACCCTGCACCCCCCCAACGCTCACTGGGCCAGGAAGTACACTGCCCCTGGGCGTGGGCCTGAGGCCAGCCCCAGATGACCAGGAAGGGCTGCCTTCCTCGGGATGGGGTCCCAGGGGGCGCCCCAGGAAGAGATGGGGAGGGGAATAGAAGGATAAGGCTTGGGGCGACATCCAGGCTGTAGCCCCGGCCAGACCCTCAGGGCTGTGGGACGGTCCCCTCGCTGCCCCTCGGATTGGGCACCCAGAAGGAGCAAGGTGCCAGCCTCGCCAACAGCCCTGAGGAGAGCCCCTCCCTGCTGGATGCGTGGCACGTGTGTCCGCCCTGGGGACGGCGCTGGCCGGGGCCCTGGGGACGGCGCCAGCTCCGTACCCATCCTCGCAGCAGCTCGTAGGCCATCACCCCCACAGACCACCAGTCCACCTCGAAGGAGTAGCCGGTCCCGCCGTTGACGAAAGAGTAGAAGATCTCCGGGGCTTGCCGACAGAGAGAGAGAGAGGGGGGTGCAGTGCTGGGTCCCTTCCCTCCTGAGTGAAACGGGAAGTCCCCTCTCGGGGCACAGGGCCTGCCCCACAGCAAAGGCCCTGCAGAGAGCGCCCAGCCTGCTGTCCAGCCCTGCGGGACTCAGGTGGGAGGCCTGGGTGTGGCCAGGAGCGGCGCAGTGTGGTTAGGCAGCCTTGGCCTTACCCATGTACGGCTTGGTGCCGGCCAGTGCGGTGGCCCTCTCCCCATCCTTTATGATGGTGGCGATGTTGAAGTCAGTCAGGTGAGCGTGGCCTGTGGATGGAGGACAGGTGACCAGCGCAGGACTGGAGATGTGTGCTTGTGAGCAGGGCTCCCCTCAGCCTCCCTGGCCTCCTGGGGCTCCCCTCGGCCTCCCCAGGCTCCCCCACCTCCCCCAGGCCTCCCCTTGGTCTCCCCAGCCTCCCCCCTCCCCCCACCTTCCCGGGCTCCTCCCAGCCTCCCCCAGGCCTCCCCAGGCTCCCCGGGCCTCCCTGGGCTCCCCAGCCTCCCCGGGCTCCCCAGGCCTCCCTGGGCTCCCCAGCCTTCCCCAGGCCTCCCCAGGCTCCCCGGGCCTCCCTGGGCTCCCCCACCTCTCCCAGGCCTCCCTGGGCTCCCCAGCCTCCCCCAGGCCTCCCCGGGCTCCCCGGGCCTCCCTGGGCTCCCCCACCTCCCCCAGGCCTCCCCTCGGCCTCCCCAGCTCCCCCCTCCCCCCACCTTCCCGGGCTCCTCCCAGCCTTCCCTCGGCCTCCCCGGGCTCCCTGGGCCTCCCTGGGCTCCGGCACACACCTTGCTCATCCAGGAGAATGTTGTCAGGCTTCACATCCCTGAGAGGCATAGGCAGGAGGTCAGCTCTGAGTCCACCCCTGCCCGCCCAGCCCCACGGCAGAGCCAGCCTCCCTGGGGACGGCACCAGAGGCCGGGAGAGCACCGGGCTGTGGACACTGCAGGGCCCTCGCGGCCCCAGCAACGGGGGAGGGGCCTTGTTGCTCTCTTCCCAAATGGTGCTGGGAAAACCTGCCACAGAGCCACCAGCACCCTGCGTCTGGATCCACACAGAGCCCCTGGCTCTCCTGGGGCACACTCACAAGGTACATGCACCCCCTTCCCCCCATCCAGAGGAGAACGCAGAGCTTCCTGGCAGAACCCCAGGCTGCCCCACGGCAGACCCCAGGCTGCACAGAGTCCCGGGCTGTCCCAATCAGACCCCAGGCTGTCCCAATCAGACCCCAGGCTGCCCCACGGCAGACCCCGGGCTGCACAGAGTCCCGGGCTGTCCCAATCAGACCCCAGGCTGTCCCATGGCAGACCCCAGGCTGCACAGAGTCCTAGGCTACCCCACGTCAGATCCAGGCTGCCCCATGGCAGACCCCGGGCTGCCTCATGGCAGACCCCGGGCTGCACAGAGTCCCGGGCTGTCCCACATGACCCCAGGCTGTCCCATGGCAGACCCCAGGCTGCACAGAGTCCTAGGCTACCCCACGTCAGATCCAGGCTGCCCCATGGCAGACCCCGGGCTGCCTCATGGCAGACCCCGGGCTGCACAGAGTCCCGGGCTGTCCCACATCAGACCCCAGGCTGTCCCAATCAGACCCCAGGCTGCCCCACGGCAGACCCCAGGCTGCACAGAGTCCCAGGCTGTCCCAATCAGACCCCAGGCTGCCCCACGGCAGACCCCAGGCTGTCCCATGGCAGACCCCAGGCTGCACAGAGTCCCAGGCTGTCCCAATCAGACCCCAGGCTGCCCCACGGCAGACCCCAGGCTGCACAGAGTCCCGGGCTGTCCCACATCAGACCCCAGGCTGTCCCATGGCAGACCCCAGGCTGCACAGAGTCCTAGGCTACCCCACGTCAGATCCAGGCTGCCCCATGGCAGACCCCGGGCTGCACAGAGCCCCAGGCTGTCCCAAGTCAGATCCTAGGCTGTCCCATATCAAGACCCTGGGCTGTCCCATGTCAGACCCCAGGCTGCCAGACACCCTAGCTCAGGTGTCCCCATAACTCAGCCTCAGTCCTCTCTGTTCTGACTCCCAGGCACACAGCACAGGTGGCTCTCATGGTGCCTGGTCGTGAGCAGACAGCAGGATCCCCAAGGGAGAGAATCAGATGGTTTGATTTTGTCTTTTTGTTGGTCGCAGGGCTTGGGCTCTGTCCCTGAGCTCGTTTGCTCAAGGCTAGCGCTCTACCACTGGGGACCCAGTACCACTTCCAGTTTTCTGGTGATTGACTGGAAATGAGTCTCTCAGACTTTCCTGCTGGGGCTGGCTTCAAACCGTGAACCCCAGATCTCAGCCTCCTGAGTAGCTAGGATGACAGGCGTGAGCCACTGGTGCCTGGTAGACTTTGTCTTTTCATTCTGCTCTGGCTACAGAATTTCCACCTAATCTTTGCTTTCTATTTCCATTTTGTTCCTAATTCCACCTACTGCCCATGTGACTTCTAATGCCAGCTGCACCCTGATTGCACCTGTTTGGGGTGACCGTCAAAAGCCATGGATGTGGCAGACAGACAAGTGGACAGGTGGGAGCGTGTCAGTGGCAGGACGGCAGTGTGGCCAGCCTCCCCCCCTCCCCCCCGACAACTAACAGCCACACACCTGTGGATAATATGCTGGCCACGCAGGTAGTCCAGGGCCAGCGCCATCTCGCAGATGTACAGCTTCACCGTGTCCTCAGAGAACTGCACGTTCTGCTGCAGGTGGTAACGCAGGTCCCCGCCTAGCAGCAGGTCCACCACCATGAACATGTCCTCTTCATCCTGGAAGGAGTACCTGCAGCACAGCGGGCCCAGCATGAACACGGCCGGGGCGGAGCCGCAGCTCCCGCACACTGCAGGAGAAGCCAGCCCAGGGAGGAGAGGGCAGGGCCTCTGCCCACAGGCCTGGGGCGGCTCACCAGAGGTTCACCAGGAAGACGTGCTCAATCTCCTGCAGGATCTCCAGCTCCCTGAAGACGTTGCGCACCTCATCGCGCTCGATGCACTGCTGCTTGTTCATATACTTCATGGCGTACATCTTCTCCGTGTCCCTTTTCTGCACAATGCACACCTGCGGGCAAAGAGCATTTCAGAGAGCAGCACAGCCCAGCTCTCCAGACAACTCTGGAGCATTGGGGTTCCCCAACGAGCAGCCTCTGCAGATAGGCCAGGCCCAGCAGCAGGGCCCCAGATGAGCCCCCAGCAGCGGGGCCCCGAATGAGCCCCCAGCGGCGGGGTCCCGGGTGAGCGCCCAGCATCAAGGCCCAGCGGCGGGGCCCCGGGTGAGAGCCCAGCGGCAGGGCCCCAGGTGAGAGCAGGTGTGTTGTTCTGATGTCCCAGATGCTCGCCAGTGCAGCTTCCTCACCTTCTAGAGCCCCACGGATCCTTTCCAAGGACTCGCAGGGGATGGGGGACTGAGAGAGGACTCGTCATTGGCAGCACTGGCTCCGTGACAGGGCCGTCTGCCATGACAGTGTGTCTGCACAGCCCTGAAGGTACAATGCCTGCTGAGCTCTGAGCTACCCGGGCGCCAGGCAGTGGGGCTGGCATTGCTGACACACTGCTAATTGCTCGGCGGCAGAGAGCAAGACAGGGAGAGGTGTGAGGAACTCCAAGCACAGGGAAATGCGCCTGGCTCCTCGTGGCTGGGAAGCATCCATCAGAGTCAAGGACAGAGATCCCAGAGGAAACCCAGGGGCTGGGCACAAAACTGCGCTCCATTTCTGCTGCAAGGCACAGAGACTCAAGGTGGTGGAGGCTATCAGGGAGGCTGTGAGGGTCTCTGGCCTTCACTGAGCAAGAGCCCAGGGGCCTGGAGGAAGCTAACAATTCTGAAACTCAGGTGAGAAGTGACTCCGTTCCCTGTGTCAAGGCCATGGGACATGGCATCTGTCTCAGGCCAAAGCTCTGGACCCTGCCCAAGGGTACCCACATTCCCTGGACTGGGAATGTGCCTAAGGGAGATGAGCTCTGCGTTTACGATACAGAAGTGGATCCTGGGATGTAGCACACAAAGCTGTGTTTACGATACAGAAGTGGATCCTGGGATGTAGCACACAAAGCTGTGTTTACGATACAGAAGTGGATCCTGGGATGTGGCACACAGTGCCGCATCTACATGCAGGTGTTCTTCCCAGGCTGCCCAACACCCAGGGCCTTGGTGACCTGCGGCAGGCCCTGGGAGGAGGGAGTGGAACCTCTGTCACACAGCCACCTTAGTGACACTCAGGACATTTGGGATACCAAGCAAGAATGCTATGCTGGGCAGTGTAGGCTGAGTAGACACACAATATGTGCACCAACAGGAAGGAGCCCTGTGGACAGAGGCCGGGGATCAGGAAGTTGCAGTTCCTATCACACTGCTGCTGATATGGCTGCTGTGTGTCCATGGTAGGAGGGCTGCGGCGACCCCGATCTTTAGCATTTCCAGATATCTGCACTGCACACATCCCTGCCATCACCCAGAGATGAGACCTACGTTGTCACATGCACACCTTGCAAACCAGCCCCCAGCCCCCAGACGTGTGGCCGGCCCGCCGGATGCGGAGTCGGAGGTGCAAAGCCGCTGGGGTACGCAGCATCTGCCCCTTTGGCCCCTCCCACCTACCCAGCCCAAACCCAGCCAGTCCGTGTGTAGGCCACCGAGACCCTGCAAGCTCTGTCTGCAACTGCCTGTGCGGGCCAGGGCTTGTCCTCAAGGTGCATCACTTCCTGTCCCCAAAGTCTCCCCATATCTATCGGCACTATACTGCCCTGTGGACTGAGGGAGCAGGGCTGCAGGGACATGCAGAGAAGTGGGCCTGGCCTCAGGGTGTGGAAGGGAGGTATGTCCAGAGCTGAGCTGAGCCCTGCCCTGCCCAGCCCTGCCCAGCCCTGCCCTGCCCTGCCCAGCCCTGCCCTGCCCTGCCCAGCCTTGTCCTGCCCTGCCCCATGGTGGGGATGGGAAGAACACTAATGGCCATCAGCCAGCAAGTGTGTGGACAAAGGGGTCTGGAGGGCACAGGGGTCATACCTGGCCCAAAAGTGTGTGCCGGGAGCGTGGGCTGCAGACCACAGGCAGAGAACAATAGGGAAGCTCCGTGGCCAGGTTGGCCAGGCAACTCCGAAAAGCTTGGCTACAAAGAACTTTTTTTTTTTTTTAACCTACATTGTTTTTTTCCAATTATTTTGGAAGCCAGTGGAAATGTTCACAATGGAAACAAGCATGAGCCAGGCAGGCCTCAGCAGCCCCCTGGCTTCCTCCCCAGGCCTCCGGCTGGCACTTCACTCTGCTGGATGGAGAACTATGGTCTTGCCAGTCCCAACACTGGCCAGCGGACAGAGCACACTGCCTGTCTTCTGAACACACGCTCCATAGAAGGGCAACACGTCCAACCACTCTGCACGGATGCTTTGGTCTTCTCATTGAGCCCAGACCCAGGAGAGGCCTCCCTCAGCTCTGGCAGTGACTGCTACAGACAGTCTGCACACCAGACGGCAGCGGCGCCCTGGACTCGGCTGGAGAGCATCTGTGTGAGGGCCAAGGTGGGAGGCGGGCTGGTGAGAGGGACACAGGTTCCCTGGCGGGTCCCTAGAGCTCAGGGACTCCCGGGCTGGGCTTCCGTGCTGCTGCAGAGCTCCTCTCAGCAGGGCTGCTTTTCAAGGCACAGTGACTGTGAACCAAGGCCTTGCCCAGAAGCAGCCCCAGGCTCTTGTGTCCATTTGTTCCCCAGGAAAGCTGCTCGAGGGACCCAAACTTGTCTGCAGTCCCCATCCCAGGCCCCTCCCCACTGTAGTCCCCGTCCCCGTCCCACTCCCCCCATCCTGGGTGAGACCCCTCCTGCATCTGCTGCAGTGGAAGGGCTCCTTGGCTTCCTTCCTTGCTGGCCCCAGCCACCAGCCATCGGGAAAAGCTGGCAGTTCTACAGAGTCAGAAGCAGGTGGGGCCAGGGCTCCTCAGTCACTGGGCTCTGGAACATTCTCAGCTAGACTGCAATGGAAGCTTTGCTTCTGTGTCTTTCTAGGGGGAAGCCCTGTGCAGCATTAGAAGTGCTCCTCCCTGGGCCAGCCCACATGCGTGCGTCCAGGTGGCCCCAGAGGCATGGCCCCTGGAACCTTAGGGTGGCCTAGTTGGGGCAAAGGGCTCTGAGGATGTAATGACGCTGAAAATCTGAAGGTATGAATTAAGACAAATTCTAAATTATTGACGGGTGATCTATGAGAGGTCAGAAGACACAGGTAGCAGAGGACGAGATGGTGTGGGGGCCAATCCAGAGCCAATGATAAGCATGTGGGTCTGGAAGAAAGAGGGGCCGCCATGCAGAGGCACACCCAGGTTCACGCAGCCTCAGAAGCCAGGACAGGCCGGAAGGGCCTCTTCCCCACAGCCTCCTGGAGTCCATCCTGCCTGACCTCAGACCTCTCAGAGGATGGGCTCCTGACATGGGTAGCCAGGAGCATGCCTCAGGACTTGTTTGCAGCAGCCACTGGAAGGTAGAGTGCACTTTCCTACACACGCCCACTGTGGAAACAGCGGCACGTGCACATCTGTTCTTTCCTCTCCATTTGCTAACCTGGCCACTTTTTTTTTCAGTGGTACTGAGATCTGAACTTAGGGCCCTGTTCCTCCTGGGCAAATACTCGACCATTTGAGCCATTCCAGCGACCCCTGTGCACTGGTTATTCTCAACAGAGGCTCCTGCTTTATGCCCAGGCTGCCCTGGACTATAATCTCCCTTTGCTGCTGGGCTAGCAGCCTCCCTCTTCCTCCCCTCCCCATCTTCGCTCTTTCTCTGCTTAAGGCTACAGCTCGTGACTGCACCTGGAGATGAGCTGCAGGTGAACTGATGGGCTGGGGTGCCTCTTCTCACAGCCCGTGCCTCTCACTTCTCTGCCCTTCACCAGGACTTGTCTTACTGGGCTGGATTAAGCTGGCCACTCTTCAAAGGTTCCAAGTCCCTTCCCTCCTCCGGCCGCAGGGAGGAGTGAGCCGAGTGAAGGCAAGCCTGGCCTCCCCACTGCTGACGGGGCCAGGCTGCAGAGCCGAAGGGCTTCATCGGGGGCTTCAAGTGTCCTTCAGTGGAGGCTACTGTGGGAGGAGGGGTTTTAGCCCTGCTGGAAAGAGCAGGCTCTGCTGGCCTCCACCATCAGCTCCACCCTGGCCCATGGGGAAGCTGCAGTAGTGGCGGTGCGAAGTCTGTGCAAACCCCATTCACAGGGACCCCAAGGACCTCCGGCCCAGCACAGCAGTGTTTCTAAAAGTGAGAGGAAAGCCACCGGCCTTCCGGGCTGGCCTCAGGGGCTGAGAGCAGCCCAGTGGAAGCACGTCATGTGAAACTGGCCCGCTTTCTGGGCCACTCCCTCCAATAATCCACTTGTTCGTGACAAAGAAGCAGCAGAATCCAATCCGAGCAACATGAACCCCGCTGGTCCCAGGCCACGGGGTGCCGTGTAAAATGCTACAGTACAGCCCAAAATAGGCTGGTGACTAATGGCGGTGTAATTGCCATTCTAATTAAATGCTGTTTATGTATTTTGCAGACTTAAAGTGATTCACTCCAAGCTCTTTTTCTTTCCAAGTAATTTTTGTTCCCCAGAAAGCCTGATAACAGGTACTCAGAGGCTCCAATCTGCAGTGAACCCATGTCCAGGCCATGGCACAGGAGCCCGGGCTCCTCCTAGGGCTCTGTCCTGGCCAGGGTCAGCAGCACAAACACTGCAAACCCAGTCCTTTGATGGTGTCTGCAGAGTCCAAAGAAGGGCTGACCCTGAAATGGGGTGACTGGGGAGACTTAGGGGGAACAGGGTCCCCAAAGTACAGAAGACGGAGCCAGCCCACAGCCCGACAGAAAAGGGTTCTGAGGGCTCCCAGGGGTCCTGATCACATACAAGACGACCTCACATCCACCGCCAGGGCCACTGCCCTCCTCCCACCGAGAGGTGTGTCTGCAGGTGGTCAGCCCAGCGCCTGTCCACCCCGTGAGGACGGTGTGTCTGCAGGTGGTCAGCCCAGTGCCTGTCCACCCCGTGAGGATGGTGTGTCTGCAGGTGGTCGGCCCAGTGCCTGTCCACCCCGTGAGGACGGTGTGTCTG